CCCACAGGACCGATCACCGATGGCCAATCGTTCCTTTCTACTTTGCCGAAGGTGGCCCAAATATGTCTTCCCTAGTCTCTCTATCCTAACGATATCCCTTCCCGCCTTTTCAACCCACCTCCTATGCCCCAGTACAGCTACCGTCCTTTCCTCTCTATTCCATGCCTCAAACATCTCCCTGTACGTTCCATCTATTTTTCCCAGCTCAGTCACGTACACTTCCCTCTCCATGTACAACGAGGCAGGGGGGGGGTACATATAGCGCGGCAGAGACTTAAGAACGGAAACTGTTAAGGGATGGTGTTAAGCGAGTGCCGGGACGCGACGAAGAAGTAAAAAACTGCATGTGTCGTGCATGTGTGGAAGGCTTGAGGCTTGCACATCTCGTGCGCCTGTCTGACTCTCAACCGCCGGGCTTGAGGAAGGAAATGAGGATACCAAGATACAACCACCCCCACACAGGACACCCACTACCAACCTCACCCGCCCGTGATACCTCATGACCGAGGGCTGTGTTGTTCCGTGAAAGATTGCCGCACAAAGCAAACACGATGAAGATGCGTGCCCTACGATAGCTCTGACGACAAGCCCTACACAGCAAGACACAACAAACGCGTAACACTCAAGCCAGCCTGCTTACCGGCATGGTTCCGTCCTCAAGGGTAGGGAAATCGTCGTCGTCGTCGACATCGTCGATACCCATGCCGTCGAGTGTGTTGTCCTCCTCCTCCCCGTCCACGTCCTTCTCCTCCTCCGCCTCCTGCGGAACGAAGAAACCATCCCCGAAAAGCATGAAATCCCCCAATCAACCAGGCGTAAACAAAAATGGCAGTAGCGTCGATATTGGAGAGGGGCGGGAGGGCGGGGATATGGTTAACCACCAGAATGGGGGGAGGGAGTATGATTAAAGAAATTCTTGTACTTTCAAAGCCAACGCGCAAAAACAATTGCAGGCATACGATAACCTGCGAGGATGTCAGAGACGTTCACGTGCCCTCGGTGTTCGGATGCCGGGCTCTGGTGTCTGCTCCAGTACATCTTCTCACTAAGCCGAGAAGCTCGCACGCAGGAACACCGAGCGTAGGGGCCCACGAGCTCGCTGTAGGTGCTTCCAGCCCACGTACCAGCGTCGCATCATAAGTAGAAAACACAACCGCAAGGCACAAACTCGCACACTCGATGAGGTGGACTACGCCGAGCCCACCTCCCGGTACTTGAACTACCAAACACATATCTGCCTTTGACCCTTACACGTGCCCCACCCCCAACTCCGCGACCCTAAGCTTACCCCCTGCCCGTGCGCTGAACTAACCGTTCGATTGACCTGTGTCGAGGAATAAAAATATGTATGACACTCACATCGGGACCTGACCCCACCGCGGGCTTTCCTGGCACCCGTACCAAAACGGTCCTCATACGCATTTTCTGTTGGGATGATAACGGCGGAGGACGTGTGAGCAACAGAAGCAACGCGAATGGCGTGCGCGAAAGAGCTTGGTTAGTCTGAAAGAAGCGCCATGTGCATGTGGGCCACCGCCGCCGCCGCAGCAGGAGCAGCGTCAGAACTGGTGTCTACAACGTCGTTCTTGATGGTTTTTCTGCTACAGGCGCGTCGGTAGGAGGGGGGGGGGTACTCATAGTCGTGCATGCCGTACAATAGTTGTTGGACCATTGACCTCGCATCCCTACAAAGCCGGGACGGAGCACGCCGGGTTCTCACCGGACCAGGCGTCGGGGGGGGCAGGGGGTCTTTGTGATGTCCACCTGCCCCCGGCCATGCATCCCACAGCTAAACACCACGCCGGCTAGTTGTTAAAAAAAAGGCACCCCAAAAAGAGATGTGAAGGGTTCATTCACACCGTCCAGTCATCATTGTACGCCACGCCCTGTTGAACGGCTTACATCAAGACGGGCTCGGCCCCCTCCACGCTGCCACACGCAGGCGCGCGCGCGCAGGGGGGGGTTAACGCACCGCTGTCTGCGGTCCCTAATTACCTTGCCACCCACGCAATCCGACGCCCAATCGTCCCCGACGTGCACCCATTCCCCTCCCACGGCAAACTCGGAGGGGTAACCCGCCTTCTTCACGGCCGCTCGGAAAGGTCCCGGCTGGGGCTTGCGCTCTCCCACCTAGGATTTTCAAAGAAATTTCATAGAAATTGTTTTGTTGATTGCATGACCCGCAGTCGTCCGTCCACACCGCACAGCACGGACGGGCGAAAAGTAGAAAATATTCGACCTCCTCCGTTAGTTTAGCCGTCTTTCAACATGCCAAGTGCTGCCTGTGGGTGCGGGCGGGGCGCATTGGAAGCTTGTGGTGGCAAGAGCTGATGAGCACAGGTCGGAACACAATTATATGGGACAGCACATGCGTTCGTGTTCAACGTTTATCCACGTGTGTGCAGGAACAACAAGTAACAATGATGGCAACGACAACAAAGGTGATGATATGCCTTTCTCAAGCAAAGGGGCCGCCATAAACCGAGCGCAACATCGAAAATCTACGTTGTGAGGGTGGATGGGCCTTCACGTTGAGCGATGAAGACAATCGCGGAGGGAAGAATGATGCCGCAGCTTCCGATTAGCCCGTGCGTGCTTGTTTCGAGTGGGCAGGCAACACAATCGCAGCCATTGCACGTCGCTACCGGAGCATACGCCTGTAAAGAAGAGCGATGAAAACGACCGCGGCACTATGCATGACAGAAACAACAACATCAACGACAACAACAACGACAACCCGCCAGAACACTCAATACTTGATACATAGTGGTCGCACGAAACCAAGCGACAGAAATCCAACCCGGCCAAAACAAGCAAAACGACAAACAAGCAAACAACCATTATTATAGAACCCGCAAAGGAAGAAGAAGAAAAAAAACAAGTACACGACACACCCACGCGTCAGTCCCTCCGGCTTGCAGGCAAGCACTAGGCGGCAAAAGGTACAGGTTCCTCTCGAAGACGACACCCTGAGCGGAGAGAGGCCAAAAATGGTACAACCACGCGCCAGGTGCGGCGCTTAAGAGCACACAACCTTGAAGCTTGCATTGCCTAGGTACAACAAAGGACGTACCTGTTCGGCAAGGACGCAGAACTCGAATAGGTCCTTGAGGCACGGGATGTCGTCCGTCTGAGCGTTTCCGTTCGTGATGGCCACCAACCTAACGCACATTTCCAGATTTCTTGTTGTTGTTGACGTCGTTGTCAATGGTGTTCTCTTCTTCGGGTTCAACACGCTTGAGGCTACGGACTACTTGCGCAGCTTGTGCTCTCGTGTTTTGGGGCAAGAGATGCGACGGAAGCGACACCAAGGTGGTAAAAAAACTTTCCACCGCAGCGGTTGTTGTTCTCGTCTTGACATACCAAAACCGTTCCGCTTTCTGCTCGGTACCTTCTAACATCCGTACCAGATTCACTGACGCGGATACCTTCCGTGGTCACAGGGATCCGGGTGCGACTCAAGGGCACTTTCAGGCTGTACAGCAAGGCAGGAGCGTGGCGGAGAAGGTGACATTCGCCACACCATGGCATACACACACCACAACCGAAACAAAACAAATACAACGTTTGTACAACGATACGAGCGTTGCAAGCGAACAGCCAACCGGCGCCATATACTCGCGCTGTTGCCGCGCCGCGTGATCACATTCGTCCCTCCCGGTTTTTGCCATCGGGGTTGGGTTTTCGTCGCTTGGCAACGACGTTGTAAACCACCCCCCCCCTCCCGGTTTTTGCCATCGGGGTTGGGTTTTCGTCGCTTGGCAACGACGTTGTAAAACAAGCCGCCCCCCCCGGTGTTTGCCATCGGGATTTGGTTTCGTCGCCTGGCAAAGACGTAAAACAAGCCAACTCACTTCGTGAACTCGGCAGCCAGGTTACCGTTTTTGTTTTTACCTCCGTTTCTTTTTTTGGCGGTAACCATAATGGTGGTAGAGTAGATCATGTTGTGCGGGGT